TCCCAAATTTTCTTGGTTCATAGAGCCTGAAGTGTTCGTCATATTGTTGTAGGCCTTAAACCAAAAGAAATATATTACGCTACTTAATTTGATTAAGTATTTAAATCCAAACAATTTATAATTATTTATGTATTAACATTTCAATAGCTGTTTAAAAGTAACATATATTAATAGAAAGAAAAATGATATTACATATTTATATTTTATATAATTTTTATTTTATTTTTTAAAAACAGCAATTATTTCCCATTTGGATTTGTGTATCAGTTGAGCATCATATAACTTTCTACACAGGAATTAGACTGGAAACTACCACCACCATCCTTTCCTGTTTCACAGTAATTTTCACGTATTGCCTATTTTTTATTGAAGCAATTACTGAAAATGCAGCTTCACAAAGAATTCATGTTATCAAAAGGAATGGAGCACAATTTAATGCTGAAATTGTATATTGCTTTAAGCTATGAGTCCACACAGCATTTGGCAGATATGACTATGTTTCCCTCAAAAATCTAAAATATGTGGTGTCCTTGTGAATTTCTCTACCGTGTCCCTGCAGAGTTTTGGAACAATGATCAAAAACATTACTCTGAGTGAAAAAAAAAATAGCCAAAAAACTATGCACCATATAACTCTATGTATGTAAATTTCTTGAAAAGACAAAAATCAACTACAGTAATAGAGAGAAATTTGTGAATTCAAAACTGTGCTTAAAATGATAATGGCCATAAAACTTCATCTGCAATAGCTATGTCCTCAGTGTCATAGTTAATTTATAGCATTCAATTAGCGATGTATTTCTAATCAGTTATGTTTCCAGTTGCATTAGACCAAATAGGAGAAAGGTGTTTTTCTAGAGTAGCTTGAGTGAGTGGAGAAAAGGGTGAGACATAGGGGGATTGTCAATAATGGCAGATGTCTTTGTTATTTTTAATTATAAACTGTACCACTGAGGTATGAACCTCATATCTAACAGCAGATAATATGAAGCCATTGGGACCTTCATTTTTAAAGATAGAGACAGAAACAAAGACTTTTTCTTTCCACAATTTTGCTTAGGGCTCTGCCTTGGTTGTATAAGCTTGTCCAGGGACATAATGTTAACATGAAATGCATAGCAGCATAATGTCTTTATAATGTTTCTTAAGAGCATAGCATTGTTCTTTACCAAAGCATTGGATGTGTACTTCAAGTGACCTCTACATGTAAAATTATTAAGACATATTTTCAAAGATCATTTGGACAAATAAAAAAATTGGGGTATGTGACTGCATTCAAAAAATAAGAGACAACAGAGGGCAGAAAATCAATGCCAAAGGCAAGATTCAAGAGGCAATAAAGGACCAAGTTTTATGCTAACAATGTATTGAGAAAGCAAAGTTTTTCCTAGATTAGAAACATTACCAAATAAAGGCAAGTAGGAAGAAAATGAAACAAACAAAAAAACAGGAAATACCCCAGCAGGCAACACAGATAGAGGTCAGACCTGCAGAGTTTAGACCTGAGAATAAAGGGGTTTTAAAGGAAGTCTGTATTAGTCTGTTTTCACACGGCTGATAAAGATATACTTGAGACTGGGTAATTTATAAAGAAAAAGAGGTTTAATGGAATCACAGTTCCATGTGACTGGGAAGGCCTCACAATCATGGTGGAAGGCAAAAGGCATATCTTACATGATGGCAGACAATAGAGAATGAGAACAAGGTAAAAGATGTTTCCATATAAAAAACGATCAGATCTCATGAGACTTATTTACTACCATGAGAACAGTATGGGAGAAACCACCCCCATGATTTAATTATCCCCCACTGGGTCCCTTGCACAACACTTGGGAATTATGGGAGCTACAATTCAAGAAATTTGTGTGGGGACAGTCAAACCGCATCAAAATCCAAATCCATTTTCTATAATCTTCATCTTCATATGAATGCATATGAATAATTTCACAGACTAGAGAAAGGTTTACACTTACAGAAGAATACTTATAAGAATTTCTTTATATTTCAGGGATATTTGTTATAAATGCATTTATTTGAAAAATAGAACTTCAGGATCATTTAACCCTTAATAGTTTTGTCAACATGATCTAAGGGCAATAACAACTCCAACTGTACTCCATTATCAGGTTAAATACTTCAGAATCTTTTCCCAGAAAAATTAATTTACTTTCTTCTAATATATAACTTGGATTAGCAATTATGTAAATGAAGTATGAAGAATTTTGTCTTCTATTAAGATGTACAAAGCTAGGAGAATGTTACTCTGACCTTAAAAATAAGAAAAAGATCAGAACATCTACAGAATTATAACTTTTCTCATACTCATCAAAGAGCTGTAGCTAACCTGTGAAAACTAGCATGCAACCTCAGGAAAGATGGGTACCTCCAAGTAACACTAGATGTAATTCTTGGCTTACTAGAACAGCAGGAGAAAAAATGGTTTCAATACCAGAAAGAAAGAAAAAAATTTCCATTAATGCCTTAAAAATAAATATGGGGTAGATGAAAGTATTTAAAACCTAAAAGTCACAAACACAAACACAAAGAGAGTTCACCTTCCTCCACAGAGTTCTAATTTATGGACCTCACCTGGTGCTTTTGAAAAAGATTGAGGCACAGCAGGAGAGTAAACAAAGCTTTTCTCAAAAAGGCAGCCCTGGATCAGGGAAATCAGGACAGGCATAGAGCTCCACCACGTCTTTTTGTCCCTGAGGAAAAACTTTAAGACAATGAAGGAAGGGCAGAAAGCTGCCTTTCCCAAGCCAAAGATGAAGACAGGCTGTGTTGGGGTAAATGTAAAAGAAAAAATTTCCACTTCAGAATGAGGGGCAAGATTGTTAAGAAAGTCTCACCTTGGCACCTTGCTCTTGGACTTCCCAGCCTCAAGAACTGTGAAGAAAAAAATTTAACAGCCTGAATAGACCAAGACAAGGTGACAGTAGAAATGATTACTGAAAACAATAGAGTAAATCAATAAGCCCCAAAGCTGTTTTTTTGAAAAGAAAAAAAAAAAAGATAAAATTTTAGCCAGACTGAAAGAGAAACAGAGACAGGATACAAATTATCAATATTAGGAATAAAAGATGGATCATCACTACTAATCATACAGTCATTAAAAGGACAAGGAAATAATGTCACATTTTTATGTCCATAAATTTAATGACTAAGATACAATGGATAAATACTTAGAAGATACAAACTACTAAAGTCATGCAAGAGGAAATCGATAACCTAAATAGTTCTATATCGCTGAAACATGAATTTGTAGTTAAAAGCCTTCCGACACTAATAACAAAAACTCCAAGCCTAAGTGACTTTATTTTTGAGTTCTACAAGACATTGAAGGAAGAAATATTACCAATTCTGTATAAGTCTTCCAGAAAATAGAAGGACTCACCTTTCTACTGACATTATGAAGCCAGCATTACCCCAAGACCAAAATCAAGCAAGAATATTACAGGAAAAGAAAACTAAAAATCAATATCTGTCATTAATTTACAAGAAAAATTTCTTTTTCTTTTTCTTTTCTTTTCTTTTTTTTTTTTCCGAGATGGAGTCTGGCTCTGTCACCCAGGCTGGAGTGCAGTGGCACTATCTCCGTTCACTGCAATCTCTGCCTACCGGGTTCATTCTCCTGCTTCATGAAGCCTCCGAAGTAGCTGGGACTACAGACTGCGGCCACCACACCTGGCTAATTTTTTTGGATTTTTAGTACAGACGGGATTTCGCCCTGTTAGCCAGGATGGTCTCGGTCTCCTGACCTCCTGATCCGTCCGCCTTGGCCTCCCAAAATGCTGGTATTACAGGCGTGAGCCACTGCGCCCAGCCAAAAAAAGTTTCTTGGCAACATTTGCAAATCAAATCCAGCATAGTGTTAATGTAATATAGATATCAGTGGAAGAGAGAAAATGTTTCTGAAATAGACCCATATACATGCATATATATGAATATATGTATATATATGACCAACTGATTATGGAAAATGTTATACCAACCAATTACATGTGGAAAATTTAGTTTTTAACAAATGGAATAGAATAATTGGTATTTATTTGCAAAAAAAAAAATGAACTCTGACCCATACCTTGCACCATATGAAGAATTAATTCCCAGTAGATCACAATCTTAAATGTAAAACTCAAACCTGTAAACTTCTAGAGAACAACATAATGGAATAACCTTATGATCTTGAGTCAGGCAAGAATGTTTTAGATAAGACCACAAAATCACAATCTATAAAAATTATTGATAAATTGGACTACATCAAAGTATTTGCTCTTTGAAAAGCAACATCAAGAAGATAAACAACAAGCCACAGACAAGGAGAAAATATTTGCAAAGCACTTATCTGGTAAAGGACTTAAATACATAATGTGTACATAATGTTTAAGAATCAATTAGAAAAAAACCATTTTAAAATGTGCAACATATTTGAATAGACGTTTCCGTAAAGAAGATATATAAATAACAAATAAGCATATGAAAAGATGTTCAACATCATTAATTATTAAATAAATTCAGATCAAAACCACAATAAGATATCACTACAGACCTATTAGAATGACTAAAATAACCAAAACAAAATAAAATAAAATCCATGACAGTATTTATTTATAACATCCCTATTGTCCTCATACTTCCTCTATTGCAAACACCATTTGATTGAGGTTCCGTTTGAAAGATTATTAAAGAAAAATGTGCTGGGGTCCGCGTGTTTCCTAAACAAAGGAATGAACACACAAGACAACACAAGACAAGACAAACATGGCGGCAGCCTCGAATCGCACACTCTGCTTTATTTTATACAGTCGTTTGTGGAATGTTACCAAGTCACAAAACACATTGTTGTTTTTCGACCTTTCCCTGACTTCGTTTGCAAGAGCAGGACTTATGGGGAACGCCCTGCTTCCTTTGCAAGAGCAGGACTTATTGGGAACGCCCTGCTTCGTTTGCAAGAGCAGGACTTATCGGGAACACCCTGTTTGCAAGCACGTAGTCCTCTACATTTCCCCTTTCCTTATTTACAAGTTTGAATTTCTTTTAAAACCATCATTACATGTTGGGCTCGCTGGGATTTGGTGTTTGCCCTTTGGCACCGTCTCCAGCAGACTGTGAAAATGACAAAGGCAAGAACAACAATCAATATATTACTAGAAACAGAGGTCAGCAAAGTTTTTACAAGACTCATAGGGTTCAAAGACGTCAAACTTTGTGCAATACCAGTCATCAAATCTGCATAAGTCAGCAATGGTAACTGATTACAAAATGTTTCAGAAATGTTCTGTGTTAATTCTTGTATTTCTAGGGAAAGATTATTATGACCAATTAAAAGTCTCTTTATCTCAGTCCAATTATGTACAGTGCTGTTAAAAGGAACAGGAGTAATACAAAATTGGGTAGTGTTCCAATCACATTTCAACAAAACTCGAGTATTCAACACTGTTAGCTGATATCCCAACCAAGAAACCACTTGTTCCAGATTATCTACTCGTTCAGTCAAATGAGCATCTATGTCTCGTTGCTGCTGCCACAACAAATGTGATTGTTCATGCCATTGTTGCACAAATTCTGCATTTTGTATACTCTGGCGTAGAGCTAATCCAGCGACAGCGGCTGTGGAAGCAATTGCTACAAGTCCTATCACCGCGGACATGACAATTCCAACCATCCTCCGACTGCGGTGGACAAGATTTTGCATAACCTTGTAAATTTGAGTAACCCCAGCAGATTCACTCCAAGTGCGTGTTAAGTTTACAGGTAGCCAGGTTTCTTTTCTGGCTCTTAGTATATATAAATCGGAATGAGACTCATTCCAATTATTATTCCACCAAGTAGTATTTATACAACTTAAGAATGTACAATTGTTTGTACAGTTAACTACCCCTGTGTTATTATCCCATTTAAAAATTCCTGTCAACAACAAGTAAGGCTTTCTTACACATGCAATAACATATCTAGAACTATTTCGATGCAAAGATATATGGAAAGGGTTAGCAATATTAGTAAGATTTAAGGACATGTTTCCCACGAAAGTGAACATTGGTTTACCAGCAGCTAGCAACTTCCAAATATGACCTTGTATTTGTGAGGTATTAGCCAAATGTGGCATAGGAGGTGAGAGACCACCATCATGCCAAATAATAGTTTCATTGCCATCTGCAGTGATGTTGTGATTACCTATATGCCAACGCAGGTTGACATGGTTGAATTTAGTCTGAAAATCATGTACACTCCAATCTGTAACAAGGTATTTACGACTCTTCCCTTTTACTTCTAACAACAATCGTGGCCCACTACTTCTACATCTAGTCCACTCTAGTTGGGAAACACCTCCGGACACATCAGGGATAGGGCATAAAGATAATGTACTTGGCAGAGTTTCATCAAGTACTGCAGTATGATTATACTTGAAACTTTGAGCCACAACAATCATAGTAAAGGCAGAGATATGACTATGGTTATAGCGAACAGCCCAAGCCTCATGAGAAAGATGCAGACAATGCGGACTACCCCCAAGACATATAGGTAACCCTTCAACCCCAAATTGATATGAACTATTTACTGTGCCAGTGTCTAATTCAGGATCCTGGTTTAAAAAAGGCGATGGCATCCAAGCAGTATCATTAGTAAATACTGGGACTTCTCTGTCTCCCCAGGCCACACCTTGATATAAGGGTGGAAAAGGAATATAAGCCCAGTATGTAAATTCTCCAGCTGTTACCTGACAATTTACTACGGCCAGCATAGCCAGGAATAAAGTCAGTGGGGTTTTGGGCTGCCCAGCTTGTTGAACAACCCCTTCAGCTTCTTAACTGTTTCAGTTGTCCCCATGTTGGGGGCTCCGCACGTCGAGTTCCGAAGGTGAATGTTCTCTGAGCGCTCAGATTTGGCTCCTGGAATTCCTTCAGGAACCCTTTGGATTGGCTTCTCTTCGCCATGGCACTGTTTCAACCGTCGAGATGGAAACCAATGTCTCCGGCACCTGTACGGACAAGAGCATAGCCTTGGGCCCATTGTAAAACGTTTCCTTTTAAATATTTCCCTTGTAATGAAGGATAATACACCCACAGATTACTGTTCTGTGGCTTTTCTAAAGGCTGTTGAAAATATTTCACCGCTGCAGACTGCTGTAATTGGCGCCAATGGTTGAGAAAATTTAAAGTAAAAAGGGCTTTCAGAATTTGATGTTTTGGGGAATCT